AAGCTCAAAATGTTTTGTGGGCCTGGCATGCGCGCTATTGATAAAAGAAGGAATTAAATTGAGTTTTCCATACTAGTGAATGGCAACATACCAAAGTACTAATAAACATTTTGCCTCTTTTATGATAATAACACTACTCAAAAAACATTTCATTTATATCTGTAAGGCCGGGTTGCCGAAAGTTTATGATTTATTTGACCGACCAACAAGGTCAAAGTTCGTAAATAGTCCTCGTAAGTTCGTAACTCGCACGCGACTCGTGGAAAGTTGCGTAGACGCGTCATCCGACTTGTCTCGTAAGCATTTGAGAGCTGCCGACGGCAAATATGTGATGGCCGGTGGGTCCAACAACAGATAAATCAACTTTTACAATTTTAATCCTATAATTTTTCCAAACTGATTTTAATTTATTTTCGTCTAGAAACAAATGGGACTTCACGGATGATTTGTTATCGTGATGTGGCATTATGAAGCTGCCACATGTTGTCAAGGTCAAATGGTCAACGAGAGGTTGAGCGGCTGCCACATTTCTTCTTCCTTAAAGGAGGCTAATCGACAAGATAATAATCTATGACATTCTAATACAACATATGTTATATAAACTAAGCAGGTTGTATTAAACATATGTTACCAAATTCAATCAGGTCAGATTGGGTTTGTTCTTCATCTACACAAACCTGCAATGGGCTATTTCTGGGCCCTATATATGATCGCTTTGAATTTCTTTACAATTTTACTTCAAGCCCAAAGCATTTGGACTAGAAATAGCCATTATGATCCTTAGTTTTTGTGTTATCAGGCTTGTTTAAATTGCACCCACGAAAGAAAAGATAAATACAAAGAGAAGAAGGTGCTTTCATACACCGAATCATTGCAGGCTTAGCCAAGTTGGCTAGAGCGACTGTTCTTCCTATTTTATAGCCAAGTTAGGGTACAATAGCATCCCAATTATTCCTTTTTTTTTATTTCTTATTTTGGTGCCGTTATTTTTTATTTGTTTATGTACATCATTAGTTTACATTCATTTAAAGTAGATTATCGTATATATATACAAAAAGAATACATTGAATCCTTAGTTTTATCCTTCAAAGAAGGAAATTAAATAAATTTAAAGCCATTAATTTCTCACTAAGCTTTTGGCCATGCCTATCCCTTTCAGAGACAGCAACCTCGTGAGTGCAAATTCTTTGCCTTCCAATCGGATAAGATGATGAAAATGAGTAATGGTCAGAGGAGGCCCATATCACCATCCTCCTACAAAACCCATCACCGCATTTCAGACATTTCTTTGGTGACTTCCAGAATACACACACTTCAACCTATTTTCAACCCAAAAGCAGGAAATAGACTCTGCTTTTTTATTTTGTTTGATTTTTTTGACGACTTGGGTCACTAATATTGGTAGCCACGAATTCTGGGTGAGTATCAAAAGATTCAACCTTGGAGTTAGAGTTGGACACCGGAAAGCGATTTTGTTCTTTTGAGAAGTCAATCTCTTTTGCTGAGATTGTGGATGGAATTGAAACAATTACTTGGTAAGTTTGGTTTATTTCAAATTTCATTTCATAGCCATTTATTTGTTTGTGGCTCTGTATGGTTTGAGAGCGAGAGACATTTGGCTGCTTGCGTGACGTGTGCTTTGATGGCTAATTGCGAGCGGTTTTGCAGCATATATGTTTTGTGTGTTATTTTTCTTTTCAATACTTTGTAATATTTTCTTGAAAATAATTACATAGTTGTATATATTGAGTTTCAGTTCGTTTGCTTTCTTTTGAAACTGCACGAAATTGAATTTGAAGACAGAGATGTGAATTGTTCAGTTCTTGTTTAATTCCAGGAGCTGCTGGTGGGTCTCCCTGTTTCAATCCCCTGAACAATATATATATATATATATATATATATCTTCTTTGCTTTTTTCGTGGAAGATTATGTTAGTGCAGTGTTAAGCTCTAAACTTCAATCTGTAAAACAAGTGTTTTTCCTATTTTCTCAGCTTGTTCAGTCAGTTTTTGTGGATATTTGATTCGAATTGGATTGATTTGCTATATTTTTTGGCTAACTTTCTCTGCTAATCCTATTTCTGTACATATCTTTAGCTTTTATGAAGTTAGATTTCTGTTTATCTTTCACAAGGAGAGTGAGAATGTATATTTTTCTTTTCAGATTCTATTTATGAGCCTGTATAGCTGGATTTTGTGAGTTTGACTCTTTTTTTCCTCATTCCAAGGGTTTCTGTTCCTAAATTTAGATTTCTATTTTTCTTTTTCCCCTTAAAATACGTTTTTGCTTGGAAAGCCAACCTTTTCTTCATTATGTTCTGGTTTCATGGATTGGAGTTGACCATCCGGATTTCTGGGGTTTATTTTTTGGTGTGATTATCTGAACATAGAAAATATTCTTGTCTTTTGTTAACAGGTTTCTTATTTCAGTCTGAGTTCACCTTGTATAGTTCATACTACAATGACATCGCCATTTTAGTCAATATTGAGGGATTTAAGTAAGGATCACCCTCCTTAACAATGGATGGTTTGAATGGAAGAGCGAACAATGGGGAAGTTGAAAATCCTGACCTCCAGATTATTAGATACTCTCCTTACCAGCCTTGCAGTAAATTAGCTTCATCCTGGTTTGATCTGAGAGTCTTCTATGTGAGGGTTAGCAACTTTAAGGTCGATGATTCGACCCCAAAGCATCTTACTCTGAACCACATTCCTCTATTCCCAGATACCCTTTTGGAAATCAATGGTGATAAAAGTAGCATTTTTTCTGAAGGTGTCTCTTCACATCTTAGAAGGGATCGGGTCGATAAGAAATCTGAAGAAGCCACATTTGTGAATACAGACAGCATAAGGCTGACAGGAAGTGCGAAATTTGAAGTGTTTGACAAAGAAGATCTCATCCTGTCTGGGGTGTTAGATATGTCTAATAGCAATGGTTTCACTGGTGAATCAAAAAGCAATGCCAAGCGATGGAGCATGAATTGTGAATCAGAGATTACCGCTGGCACTGGATTTTTGAAGGGGAAACAACTTGGTGGTGCTGAATTACCTGCACCAACCATTGAGGTTTACATCACAGGCTGCTTCTCTGGGACACCAATCATCTTAACCAAGACCCTGCAGCTTAATTTCCGGAAGAAACATAATAGGATGAGCACGCTGGATGCGATCCCCGAGTACGAGACAACTGAATGCCAGAAAGATGTCTCTCCTGGGCTTGATATGGAGGTACATACTGAAATTTGTGTGATAATATGATCTCAGTTTTTTGCCTTAGTTACGTTAATATGGTGTCTTAGGGCAGTGTTGGCATATGCATGTTGTAAGGGGCTAGGTTCTGATTCTCCAAAATAGTTTCCTGTGTTCATCTAGTGCTTCAGTCTAGGCTCAGTATTTGTTTGTTATCATGGAGAAATTCGTCTGAAGTTTTGTTCTCCAGTCCTTATAGTCATATGGGTAAATGAGGTTATTGAACAATCTCTTCGTGTGAGAGGCAGGACTCCATGATCTGAAACTATATAGCGATATGGCAAAATTGTTGCTCTTTGTTACCTTTTTGTTGCGGGTCTTAAGACTGCCTGTGCTTCCTGCTCAGAAACATGTTTCTTGTTACTGAAATCCTTGTTATACAAGCAATTTAAAACAGAATATTATCTTAATGGTTTGTCATGGCACATGGGTCTCATGGACAGGGCACAGTTTTCAAGTGATGGGGTTATACTCAATTGCCCATTTTGTTTTCTGTTGCATTGTTTTTCACATCCTTGTTTTTCTGGAGTCAGACATGGATTGGCCTCCTCCAAAGACGTGCCGATGGCCGGTCGATATGGGGACCACATTCTGCTGGGTAGTTGTAGAAAGTGCGCTGAGGTTGGAATGGCCTTTTTTTATCTTGGATTGTTCATAAGTTGTGTCCTGTGTCCATTAACAAATCGGACTGAGCTTGTTAACTTTGATCCATAGTTTGTACCCTAACTCTCCCTTTTCTCCCTTTAGATCGGATTGGTAATGAGGGATAGAAGTTAGTAGTTGAGAGCTTTAATTACCCTAGTTAAGATGGCATCCATGAAATTTTTTCAGCTGGTTTCCCTCTTTCTTAAAGAGGGTAAGGAAGGGGTAAATAATTAGACCTTATGTCTTCATTTGTTGGATATCATTCTTTGTAATCCTTATCTGATGCTTTTAACTGTTTCTGTCTCTTTTATTTTCATTATTTATTCTTTGCTTGGGGTGTTGGATTCCCTAATCTTTCTTGAATTACAGGTAGCAGAATACGGAAACTACAAGCCAGAGAATGAGGAAGAGTACAGCAAACTGTACTGGAGGAGGACAGAATATATGGATGGGGAAGATGGCGAGCTCTCATGGTTCAATGCTGGTGTGAGAGTTGGCGTTGGTATTGGACTCGGCGTTTGTCTTGGAATTGGTATCGGGGTCGGTTTGCTGGTCCGTACTTACCAAACGACCACACGAACTTTCAAGAGGCGACTGGTGTGAGTCCTTTAATCTGGGCATACTCAATTCCAAAGGCTGCTAACTTCGTCTATGTCTGACATGCATCTTGATCTACAGATTTTGACTTAGCACTGTTTGTGTAGCTGACAGTTATTTGTTTTTGTATTTTCTCTGTAATTTTCTCCATAAACTCTTGATGAGAGGTTTGTTTAGAAGGGAAGGGTATGATAGATATCTAGTTCCTGTGTAATGGAAAGGGATAACAGTCTTTTATTTGGCCGCCATGGTATACACCTGGCCTAAAGATTGTATTTCATTGTAAATAAGATCTCTTTCTTCAAAGCTAGTAAAGGCAAAGCTATATTGTTTCAATGTTACTTCCGCTTATACTTTCAAGAGATTACATTCACATGAATATCCCGAAGACTTGCTTTAATGTCAAGGAAACTTCATTGGGCAGGGTAGAGATGGCGTAATGGTGGGGGTTCATTACGAAAAATTGATTATGTTGGGATCTGATGAGACATAAAAATGTATTTCAAGATCTGCTTTAATTTCTCAGTTGAAGTCAAATGATCCTATCACTTTGGCATAGGATTTGAGAGGTATATATCAGATAAGGCACAATATCCATATAATATAATAAAATAAAATCTGATTGCTACTTCGTTTTTTAAATGGTAATGTAGTAACTAAACATGTCTAGTTGTAATGTAGTCTCTCTCGCCAAGGCACTCAGATACCTCTCCTGCAAGAGAAAAGGTCCCCAAGGAACTAATAAAATTCCTGCCGGATTGTTGCTTGCAAGGCTCTAAGCTCATGTTAGCTTACCAGCTCACCCAGTTAGTCCAACTCACTTATTCTCATATACTTATGAGCTCCTGCTATGGAGGTTTCCGGTGATGATTCAGCTGGCTACCGGTGCAAGGCACACCGGTTCAGGAGCCACTTCGGCTCCAGAATGCCCATTACCATAATGTGGTAGCTTGTCATCGCGACCCCAAAAGGCAGCTGATCTCACATCATCTTGAGTCATTAATTTCGAGAACTCCTCATGGTCATAGTTTAGTATGGCATGCCCTCCAAACTCAGTAGGGAGATTTTTCTCATCAAAATATTGCTTCATAAGCTCCACGCTGTCTTTATTCTTGGGGTAAACAAACTTGACCTTGTGGAATGTCTTGTTGTCCAAGAAGTACTTGACAATCTGCACCAACAGAATAGGGCAACACAGCAATTATTATAATAGAAAACTCTAATAACATGAACACAAATGCAGAACAAAAGTTACTGGGAAAATAGGAATCTCAGATTCTCAATTGAATTCTCTCTCATGAATTTGAATGATTTCAAAATCATAACAGTAATTCAATTTCATATTGTTGACGGAAAAAAACCAAGCGGGAAGCAACTCGTAAAATTTAATATGGAACAGCTGCTAAAAGATCATAAGTTAACGGAGACATCTGCTTCATATCAACAACAAACACATAGGCCTAGTAGTTTGTGTCTTAATTCGTTCTGTCTGGGAGCATGTGAAGGGAAGGACCACAGCGTTAGCATGAACCAAGAAGCATATTGATCCTTGTGGCAGAAGTGATATTAATGAAGCCGTGCGAAGCAACTAGGAAGAATAAAACTCAAACCTTCCAAAATGCTTCAAAAATCCGCGGGGGGTTGTAGAGAAACGCTACGGCTAATCTCTCAGGGTAGTGGTTCTGTAAAATATTGATGGTGTCTCGTGCAGATTTGACAGGCACAGTAGTACTTAGTGTCCACCCGGTGAAGTCTATCAACCACGCCATCTGTTCTTGGCCCTCGGGAAGGTTGAAGACAGCATTCTCTATGAGATAGACTAGATGACGCATTTGATTGTCTATTGATACCGTGTTCTGCGACATTTCTAGCAGCATTAAACTTCAGCCTAATGAAGAAAGCTGAAGGAATTAACTATATGAATTGACAACGCTTAATACCTGCATTCCTGGTCTCAGTATAAGAACAGTCCTCCCGCTACGATCACGAAAACTTGCTCTGTAAACTTTTCCAGTCTCACCCTCATTTGCAACTTCGCGCTGACAATATAACCCATGTAAATAAGTCAGCAGAAATTTAACGCATGAAACAGAGACCATTGTAATATGGAAAGCGATTTACCCAGCAGATTTCCTCAGGCTTGTAGGTTGATCTCCACTTAAGTGTTTCTTCCAACATTTTCTTGGCTTTGTCTACGTTCCAATTCCTTGCCTCCAAATATCTCCTGAAGCACGCATCAGTGCAGAACTGTAAACTACGCCCAGATAGCGGTCCAATTGCAGCCTTCAGCTCGTTGATCTGCACTTAATTGCAGTATGAAGTCAACTAAGAAAGATTTCTTGGCAAGGTGAAAAGCATTTTCCCTTCAAAACTTCTAAATTTCAAACTTGTCATTACCTTCACTTCATGCTGCAACGGATCATTGTCTTGGTGATGGGAACTGCTCCAGAGGCGAAACATGCTCACAGATTATTTGAAACAAAAATCGTTTGGAAATTGAGTTCAAATTCACCTAGAACATCAAACATCACAGAAGATAAGAAAGTACCATGCGTAATTAAGCAACAGAAAAGATTGAAATCGCATCACAAAGAGAGGCCAGATTGAACATTCAAGTTTGTTAAACAAAACACGAAGCATAACTTCGCTGAAAACCGCAAAATAAAAAGCAGTAATTCTGCATTGAGCAGTGAACCTCACCAGCCAACAAGTAATTTGACGACGAGGTAATACATTGTAGGATGTTTGGTTTCATGTCATCAAAATTACGTAGTTTCCACGGTGAGACTTTGACATCTAAATAGGTTTTAGTAAATAATATAATACTGTAAATCAGAAACTAACCAGAGTGATTCCAGCTTCCAGTATCTCAAGAGGTGCAGATAAAATGATAAATAAATGAAGAGCAATCACGCAAATTGCGCTATACATCAACTAATGAAACGTGATTCAACCAACCCCATCTTCCAAGAAAGAAAAAACAGACAAGACCCAGAAGTCAACAATGAAATAACCCAATGCTCCACAAAAAACTGAACCTGAATGAAAAAATTAATGACCCGAAAGAAAATTAAATGAACAATATTGATTGTTGACCGTTCACCAGGAGATATTTCCACATATGGGCCCTGGAAACAGGTGGTCTCTGTTTATATGCTTGTCTGCCTATAATAATCAATCCTTGGTAGTCAAAAGGTGAGCGTTCCATTTTCCAAGCTCAATTCTTTTGACTTTTATTAAGGCAATCCGGAAGAATCACAACAAACCCATAAATCAGAATTGCTACCATGCATTATAAAAGACCATCTTATGCATCAAACAATTTTCAAGTGAAATATGCAACAACAAAAACAGAATAAAAGACATGAACAGATTGTTAGAAGGCATACACATGAACAGAAAAACGAGCTCCAAAGAAAGATTTAAACAGAGAAAACTTACCTCTACCTGCAGCTCCAAGGAGAGAGAGAGGGGGGGTTGTTTTGTTCACGACAATGTCATGACTCATACAAGAGGAGAGCCGGTGACCAAAAATGAACAAGAAAAAGGGGGAAGACTGAACCTTTTGGGAGTGGCTTGTGTCCTGTTATGACAGGTCCAGATATTTTGGCCCTCCAGACTGGGAGAGAGTGGACTCACTCTCGTCTATGCTGCTTGCTGCTTCGCTCTTTTTCTTTCCTTTAGTTGGCGGCCATGTTAAAGGCACTGTCCGGTGTCGTTTCATGCAATGACAGGCGGCCAAAGCCACCCCCACGTGTTATGTGGAACAGCTCAAGACAAGACGCGACAGGCAAGTGGCTAAGTGGTGACGGGTAAGTACGTACGCCTGTCAGTTTTTCAACCTCTTTAGTTGCACGTCTGGACTGTGCGAGAGGATTAACGGTCCTGGTTTGCTGCCATGCAACGTGGCAAAACCTGAGTGGAGGATATAACGATCTTCTTGGAACTCTCTGTTGGGTAAGTTGAAAAAGTGGAGCATATTTACCACAAAAATAAGTGCAGCATGAATTTTTATGAGAACACCGACCCCAAAAAAAAAAAGTTTGTGGTTGTGGAAAAACAAAAAAGATGTGGATTTTTCAAATAAAAATGGATTCTAGAAGGTGTATTATTAATGAAAAGGGGATGACTTTAGAGCATCTCCATTGCAAATGTATAAAGAGAAATGTAAATTTACAACTACAGTGTCGAAAGTTGCTCCAATAATGAGGTGTAAATGAATATAAATATAGTATTTGGCTGAAAAATGTATAAAAAAAATTGACATTTACATATGAGTTAAGGCCATCTCCAGTCATAAGGCTAAAAATTTAGCCCTCAAAATATTAATTTTTTAAAGAATGGTGCAGAGCTAAATTTTTCTATCTCCGGTCATGAATGACTTATTTTTAGGGCCTTTCATATTTTATTATTTTGAAAAAAAACAATGGTACAACACTCATATTCCACAACTATGTATTGTTTAATTTAATTAAACTACAATTTAGAGACAATATTTTTTAAATTTATATGTATTTTTTTAAACAAAATGAATTTAAAACATTTTAAAAAGTTTAAAATAAAATAATAAAAAATAATTTTTCAATCAATGGTTCTGACCTCCAACAATCAGAAACCAATTATATATATATTAAAAACAAAACGAATTTAAAAATATTTAAAAAGGTTATTAAAAATAAAAATAAAAACCTAATGGCCAACTGACGTCATCGATGATGTCAACGCGCCTTTAATGTTGACTGTTGGATTTGCAGTTGCACGAGATGTTTCGTTCTCTTGCCCACACGTGATACTCTCTCCTCTTAAAAAACACATGCACTAGGCCCACAAAAAAATTTGGCATTGGCCAAAGTTGGGCTACATTTGGCCTAGTTGGAGGGCTAAAGGGCCAAATGTGGCCCTCCAAATTTGGCCAAATTTTTTTTCAGCCCATAGCTCGAAATGAGTTTTGCATTATTTATGACTATATTTGACTTATGGCTCATAACTAGAGATGACCTTACATCCCCATTTGCTGAGCCCCACAGGCTAAAAATGAGGAGAAATAATGCAAAAGTGGTGGTTCCACCGAACATATAAAAGGAGATAGCTAACAAAATACCAGAAATATCATTTTTCTTCAACTTGATATAAAATCATTTCCTTTCATGTTATTTTGATATCTCCAATTTATATCTATATCATTGGGGGAAAAAACGATATCTACATTTCCCGAATGTGTAAAGGATTGCAATGGAGATGAGTTTTAAGGGTTTCACAATCAGTTTCAGAAGGCCGGTCTGTCACGTAGCGGGAGCCCGATTCCCCATTGGTCGTTGGTTAAGATCAAAGGAGGAAAAGTAAAACATGTGACTCGTTTGTTTTTTTTTTGGGTCAATGACTCGTCTTTGTTTGTTTGTCTGTGTGGGCGTATTGGACACGTGGTGGATTCTCTGCGTCTTGTTGGCAAGTGACAAGTCAATATCTACCAACTTTAAACTAGAAATATTTTTATTTTCTGTGGTTCATATGTTGTGTTGTGCTGCATAACTTGTTTGAATTTAGGCATCGTACAGCAAGTTAGGTCTGATTTATATTCTGAGGGCGACAAGCAATTTGGTGTTGGCTTTTTGCACCGATGGCAAGAATACGATTCCCATTCCCAACAAAGAAGCCACCGTACTGGAACATAAATCACAAGTAAATAGCAAAGGAATTTTCTTCGCTCTAAAGACTTCCCGGATAGAAAAATACAACCTGTCTGACTCTGCAATGCAATCCCAAGATATTCCAGGCGCGTCAGGTTCTCTTTTGCCTGCATAAGGTAAAGGAGGCAAAACCCCTACAAAATAGTGTCATTACCCCGTTACATAAACAGCTGAAATGATTTCATATAGAAAACAAATGAAAAAGTCGCAAGAATTGGTATCTCAAAAATTGATTTAGTAAGTTGGATATAACGGATCCAGGTGGATTCGAACCACCAACCTCCCAAACCTCTTAGTTTGGGCGCTCTAACCACTGAGCTTATGGATCCACAAAAATAGATAACACCCCTCCACGACCAAGCCACACCCAAATTATATAAGCCCAACAAGGTAATGCCAAGCTTACCACATTTATAATATTAATAATCGCCTCCAATGACTAACAATTTCTTTGGAACAAAAAGCATCAATATAATTACATAATATTTCACAGCCCCCCTCATGGTCACATTAGCGCATTACTTATAGGGAGAGGGTGACGAGGAAGGGCAAAAAGAACCTCCAGTCAAGTCAACAATGGGCATCCACACAACAGACAACACAATTAGGCTAATTTCAAATAGATGACAAATACGCATGCATAGTGGGTTCCTATGGAGACAATTCCAGAACTCGTTGCAATTTACCTTTGATCCAGACAAACTGAATTTCAATCTCCTTCAATAAAAAAAGACAACACTGCTGGATAATTGACAAGGCGCAAACAAAATTTCAAAAAACAACACGAGTTATGCTGTCTTTGCCTTTTGCTGATCACCAAATACTGAGCACAAAGGAACCGAGCATATCCATTATGTTGTTTTTGCCTCTGATGATCACCAAATTACAAAGGAGCAAGAGCACAGCACAAGAATAGCAGAGATCAACAAATTACATCTCCATCATGTGCTCCATCCATGAATAGCTGAACAGCTACAGACAAAAGCAGATGACATAATATTTAGTTCAGATCAATGACTGGTCAGGAAATTAGTCAGTATAGATGAATGCCGGTCATCAAACAGGAAAATTAAGTAAGGAGTAGCATTTCACTTACCAATTATGTATTCAGCCTCAAAACTGTGTTATTCCAATGCGTCAACCAGCAGCACAGCCTCTGCACTGTTCCACGCGAGAAGTTTGTCGCAACCCCTCAGCTCAGAACTGCATTCTTCCACATCATAGTTCATAAAACTGGCTGGCGCTCTTCCCCATGAGAAGCCCATGGTGGAACATATTGTTTTAGGATTCGTGAACCATACAATTTATATTATGCTTAGAGAGACGACGACGTTCCAAGCTGGTAGGAGAGTAAAGTTTTTATAGGTACGTATGTAACAGACTACTCACAGACCATCCCCAATTACAGCACCAAGGATCATGTCTATCACTATCCATCCCCATGTCATTACACAAACAAACCAAACTAATGATACATTTTGCCTTGAATACTGTGATAACATCTCACATTCACAAATTGACAAAATAATCACACTATCAAATATAGCATACGATTCAGGAGAAAATCAAATTAATAGCACAAAAAACACTCGGCTCCAAGAGATTGAGAATTCTCATAAAAACTTTGATTCAATTTAGTGAGATATTCTCCTGGTTGTCATGTAAAACTCAAATGGGACATAGGTGCACAGTAGAAGTGTTTCTTTATATTGTTATCCACCAGGAAACATGAATACGGTAAATAAATGCGCCCTGAGCATGTAAATTAAACGGAGATCCACACTAGATAATAGTAATTTGAAGGCCTTGCAAAAAATGCTATATCTTCATAATTTATATAATACAATGTTGAAATTTTTTTGTTACAACTATCGTATCTGTGCGGGGACAATTTCATTTTGTAGATTTTCCCGATTGCTATGATAGACTGAAAAGGGGCTTCCAACAGAGCTTCAGTACCTCATTTCTATCTTTAGCCATTGGGAAACATAAATATGACAAATAAATAGCAAATGCTTTCTTGATCTCAGTGTGCAACTAATTCCTACAGAAGATGAAATACACAGTTTTGGAATGTTTGCTGTTAACCTAACTATATAGTGATAGTGTATGAGAACAGGCGGACCACCAACTGAACCACTGGTGAGAATGTTTCCCTTGATCGTTGTTAAACTAACTATGTTATAATAAGTGTGTGAAACAGGGCGATCTTCATCAAATGTACCCTTGTAAGAATGATTTTGTTTTCTGTAGATTTTCTGCACATTATTTTTGAAATTAAAGAATCAATAAGAGGGTCGAGAGCTATTAATTACCTTCTTTGTGAAGCCAGATTGGTATCCTTGTTGGCCTTATCCGTGCCACCAAATTATGATTGGCGTGCAAATGTAGATATGCAAGCATAGACCAGACAGAAGAAACGAGGAGAGAGAGAGGGAGAGGGAGAGAGAGAGCGCGGGCGCACGCAGAAGGGGGAAGAGCCGAGCGGGAAAAGAAAAAAACACCCGTGCCTCTTCCCCCCAAAACCCAAAAAAACAAAATTTATTAGGGCTTTTTTGACCTGCCATGCAAGCGCACCTGCAATGGCAAAGGTCTGA